TGTGGCTTTTTTTTGAATGAATTTCAGTTTCTGTATACCTCCATGTTGATTTTATATTTCCCGAGGGGAATTTTCATTTATAATTAATTCATGATTATTTATAATGAAAATGGATTCATATCAAATTCTCATTCATTATGAATAGTGGAATTTTCTACGGTGAAGAAATTTTTCTTTCACCAGTCCATTTTACAACATGCTATCTTAGTGATTGTTGTACATTGGAGTAACGGAATGGCTTCCACTCGGAAGATTAGAAACATGAGTCGACTGGTATGTCTTTTTCAACAAAGTCAGTCATTGCTTTGTTCATCCATTTTTATGAAATACGCGAGTCCAGCTCTTTGTCGATCCCTGAAAATCCATCTATATAATATATTCAATTTCTCCATTTCCAACGGTCTAGCCTGACTCCAAAATCTTATTGAAGTTGCAAGGAATGGTACATGATGCTTAAGTGGTACAGCAATACCTAACGTCAGACTATTGGAGGTATATCTCCCGGGTTTATATACGCTCTATATTTTTCGGTGGATTGAAAATTCAAGCGCGCTTGTATATCCGTAAATAGTTGGTATATGGATAGCGTAGACGTTGGGATCAAATTGATTATCATAATACGACGATTCCTGTGCATTTCTGAGACCCATTTTTAGTGGTGAAGAAAATTTCCAGCACGATATTCTCAAGGCAATTCACTACATCTGTTATAGACAGGTTCTTACCATTGTTTATATGAAATTGTTTCCCATGATAATGACTCAGTGACTGCTGAATAAAAATTATGATGATGAACATTATATGACAATGTGAATATTTTTTGGTATTGATAGGGTGAGACAAAAGAAAATTCAATATCTCAATATTCTTTCACCATTATTCTATCTTTTCACACTTTCTGCTTCTTCAGCTTTTGATTCCGCCATCACTTTCTAGACGCAATCGATTTCCAACGGTAGCTGTGAATCATATTTATAGACTCGGTGCTCTTTCATACACAGCGAACAGTGGGATTTTATCACACACTGTTCGCGAAGAATTCTTTGAGATGGAAAAGACTCACCGAATGTCTACAACAGCCGTCCACTGATATGATAAAAATTACTGGAAAAATGCAATTAGTTTTGTTTCGTCAAGTGAATAAGAGAAATTCCTACTCAAAACTTTATTATCTTTATTATCCTCTTAATGTCAATTTGAGAATTATGATGAGCGTAAAGTTAACATTACACCGCAATAAATTATCGTCAATTGCTATATCGGATACGACAATTGTAGTAAAGTATCCGAGAATAGTTTTATAAGTATTGTAATGATTTCCCACTGAGTTTTAAAAGTATTCCAGTACTTTTCAGTGTGACCTTCCATAATGGCACCGACTTTGCCCGTTAACAATAGCTTTCAAATATCTTCCAATATCTTGAATGTCTATCTGCCTCGCTAGGCAAGCTCATCAATTCGAAAACTTTGTCTTTCGATTCTTGGGAAAATGCCATCGTACGCCTCCTCCAATCATATATATTTCCTCTTTTTCGTTCACAATTCCAACCGAAATGGAATTAATTAACTTTACAACCCTCTCATTTCTCACACTTCTCTCTGTAATGAATAATAGTTTACTGCATTCCAAAGTTTCCAAGTTGCATACAAATTTCATAAATTCCCCCCCAGTTAAATTAAATAACTGAAATAAATCAAATCGATGGTTATGAATTTTTTACTTCATTCAATTAAGTTCATTTTATTTCATTAATAAACGAGTCGAAGTGGATGACGATGAGATATTTGAAGGAAATCTAGTAGATTCATCCAAAACGAGGTAAAAGTTTGTCGAATATATAATGAGGATTAATTGATCAGCTTTCACGATTCAGGTAATTAAACATTCACTAGACGAAATTGCAGTGCTGGAGGGTCTGAATTTTTAACACCATGTAAAACACTATTCGAATGAAATGAATTTTTGAAAAAATCACTTCATATATATTTACGTTACTCTGAATTTATATTATCTAATAATACATTTGCTGACGAACTTTAGTCTAAGGTTAATTAATTAATGGTAGAGTCTGTTATGATACATCGATTAATCATAGGAAAATGCCAGCCTCTTAAAACTAATGGGATGTAAAAATAATTGTACATTAATCTCTTTCATGGCACTTGTGGCACGTAATACCAACTGATAACTACAGAAAATGAACTAAGTTAGAATTTATGTTCATAGAACGATAGATACACTAATTGCTATATACTAGAAATACTTGATACACGGCACCAAAATTCTTTTTCATTTATCATTGCAAAGGGTTTTTCATCCTGTGGAGTTGATAGAACAATGAGGAAAGCATCAGATGCTCCCACAAGAATACTCAACAGCGTTTATTTATAAACTTTTAAAACTCCTATTCATTGTGCTTTCACAGTTCGGAATTACTCCATATTTTTTCGTGAAATGAAATATGGATTCTTTATGACTAAGTATACAATGCCCGAAGAGGAAACTGCGGTGGGTTTTTTTTTTCTTTTTCAAATCGAGTGCTCTACATGAATTATTCTTCCGGTGAAATCCAACAGTGTTGAACGATAGAAGAATCATAACAAATAACGGGAAGACATTGAAATAATACAACTAATCCATAAGCAACATTGCGACGTGAATTTTTTCCAAACAGGATCTTCAAATGATTTTTTATACGACAAAACACCAACCGCATTGCCTTCCATTACATTAAAAAAAATTATAAATATAGAGACCCACAGAAGAGTCTCGGACGGAATTTTCCTCGAGAGGTAGTAACTTTCACATCTCCTTAGAAGTGGTAAACCAAATTAATTCTTCACTACCTGCTTGCGTTATCTCTCAGTGTCAATCTCCACTTGCGACAGTAGATCAGGTTCTGAAACAGAAAATAAAAAGCCCCCCAACCGCATATTCAGACAAAATGGACTCGGTGACTTGGCTATGAAAAAGATATTAAACATTCCAACAAACCACACATGCAGTTATGCAAGAATCTCATGAAATGATAGGGAGTAAGAGTTTTAAAAAGACAAGAAAAAAAAGATGAAGAAAAAATTGCAAATGGTATGTGAGATGCGAAGTGGGAGCGGGGCTAGACTGAGTCATAAATCCTGCACCTTGCCACCGAGACGTCGAGATAGAAGCACAGCTTCCGGCCTGCGAACCCGTCTGCATCAAGCGCCCTTTCCCTCCCCTCATCGTTTCACTTCCCTCCATTTTGGTCCCAACCTCCCAGTCTCTTCCGGTAGAGAGAGCGGCTGGTTTTCCCTTTAGCCTACCACTCGGTCCTCATACTATCTAAGAACTTAATCACCTTTTCCGTGTTCTCGTCATGACACTAGCTCTGCCAACTAGACCAACTAACTGGCGCCATTTTGGTGTAAATGTTTGCCCACCCCTCTACTGCCCCATTTCCACACTTTTTTTTTTATCAACAAAATGGAAGGATACTTGTATACGTATCATTTCCCTCATTTTCTCTCTTTTCATTCCTCATTAACCTCTCTATCCCCACTCTCATTTCAACCCATCGTTTACCTTCTGCTGGATTACTCGAGGATTAGTTACAAGTTTTAAATAGTTTCAAAACAGAAATTACATTGTGGTAGTTTTGGTATCCAGGACACTATTCGGGGGCTACCTTTTTCCGGAGACTCTAACTGCTGACTAACGTCCGATCTTCCCAATTTTCGTAACAAAATAAACGTTCGAGGAGTTTATAATCCATCCGTTGGGATTGAAAACAGATTTATTATCGAACTGAATCTTTGGTTTGAATCTCATCTTGTTAGCCTAAAATATATCAAAACCTGGGATTCAAATTGTACTGGAAAACATACTTGGCATATCCCTTTAACCCAATATGGCTCTTAACCCCCCTCTACCAAAATGTTTCATCTTTTACGAAATTATTTATTTATAACCATTTGAGTGGTTTCCGCATCACAATAGGTATTCTAATTTTTTATCTTTTAGGCTATCAACATTCAATTCAAACAAAAGATTCGATAGGTTCGATAGAGGCTGTATGTCGGCCTTAAGGTGGTTGTCGCGCGACAGTCTCTGTAAAAAGTTTATTCGCTGTAAAACGGGCCAGTTTAGAACACAATCTTTTAGCGGTATATAGTCTCACTTGATTGATTGCATTGTGCATGGATAGCTAAAGCATAACTATATATTTTCCATGTTAACTATTTTCAATTATATAAATTTATGAATTTCCGATAATTATATTCCGTAAACCAAACGGTCAATCGATTTGATTTTTTTTTCTGTATTTCCTCCCACGATGTATATTCCACGTTTTTTTTTATTTCTGAAACTGTCGAGCCGTTGATTTTTAAAAAATTCTAATCGGCAAAACTCCATTTAAACACGTGTTAAATCACTCGAATTTCAAAAATTTATATCTCAAGTTCAAAACGGTCAATTGCAAACGGAAAAAGCTCATTTTGTTGCTAATTTTTCAAACTATTCACCATAAAATTGTTAACGAAAACTGTCGAAAAAAAATTCTACGCGACAACAACCTTAAGATAAAATACTTCAAAATTTTGTGAACTCTAATGGTTATAAAAAAATAACAACGATTGAAAAAGGAAAAAATTATGGAAGGATGGGGAATGGGAATATTAATTCCAAAAGATCTGCCAAGTTTACAGAAAAATAATTGAAAATGCGTATTGAATATTGAGATCATCTGGCAGTCCATTTTAATTCTATATTGTTATTCACTGTCCAATGTATTCTTTTTCTCCATCATGGTTACTGGTAGACTGCGTCTTTTTAATTATTATTATTATTATTTATCTAAAAACTTGACAGATCCCTCAACACCAATATCTCGATCTGCCACTTTCCAACATTTTTTTCTCTTTTTTATAATCATTTTTTTATAACCATATGAGTAGTTTCAAGGACACAATTTGAAACCCAAATGTAGAAATATTTTGCACGATTAAGATAAAATGTAAACCGAAAATTACGCCCGATAGATAGATCCTTGACATTTACAATAGTTACCGAATATTGATTGATGGAACACGCCGGCTAGTTTTTATCGACAGATATCGCTCAAACGAATGGTTTGGTAACAATTACCGAGTACTCAATTGTTATAATTGAACAACACAATTTGATAAGAGTCACCGAACTTGGTTAAGATTAATTGAGTTGTTCCATCACTGTACTCCAGACAAAATTGTTCAAATGCTTCACTCGTGAGGTAAATCGAATGTGGTGTTAGGCATTTCAATTAATGGTACGTGCTATAAAGTTGTGCTCTTCCCCGAGTTCTTTTTAGTGCTTGTCAAGGTACCATGGATTTTACCGTTTCTATTTTCCTCCATGTAAAGACTTGTTCTTTGGGATCTTCTTCTGTCACTACTGTATCTCACTCTTGGCTCAATACGTTGAGCTGATACGTACGTGGGTATTGTGAAATCATCGGGAGTTGAGCGCTCTGGGGCACGTGAACGTTTTCTGCATACAACAACGCCGATAAATATTCCAATGCCGATGAATGAAACCGCTCCAACAACTATAAAAAATATAAAAAAAACCATTTGATTGTTATGGAAGATGAGAAGCAGTTGGGCTTCGCATAAGTTTCAGCTTTACAATTTCTTCAGGCAATGATGGCAAAAAAATGTCAATATTGAAATGTTCAAATGAATAAACAACTCCAACACGAATACTTACCAACTCCAATAACAATAATCATCATATTCTGCGTTTCGCCCGTGGGAATGAAACTTTTGAGTCCATTGATGACGAAACCTGCACCACCGGCTTGCTCAAGATTCCGTCCAATGGATTCCATAATACGAACATTTCTTATTAGCCTAGGCTCACTCTTGCCTCTCTGATTAATAGCATAAACTGCCAATGTATATTCAAAGCCTGGCTCTAAATCATGAAGTTGAAATGTTGGACGTGGATTTTCCGTTCTATAAATTGGTGGAACTTCACCCGCCTCCCCCTGGTCACTTTGTGGTGTCTGGAGAGTGTGGGAGGTTTGGAAGAGCTCTGAGCCTACTACAGAGCCACGTACTTCTAGCAGGAAGTGCTGAGGCAAACCGCCGTCCGAACCGGGGATGCAATTTACCTCGAGTGCGCTACTCTCGTTGTACAGTGCACAGTCTACTGGTGGCTGTGGCACTTCTGTAAATTAAAAATATATACATATATATAGCGTATGCTGAGTAAATTATTGTGAGGGATGTTAACATAAAGTTATTTTCTTTTACGATAATGGTGGGATTCATGTTTGCAGGTTGAACGGTTCAATGGCCGCTACTTTCCCAAACTAATCTCAATTCAGATATTTCACTCCTTTCTGGGATTTCTCCATTATACGTATTAAAATAATGATTAAGTAAATAAATAGATTAAATTAATCAAAATAAATTGGGCAGTCGTGCCTGTGGTCATTGTAATAATCCGTTTCAATAAAAATCGGTGGAATTATTCAGTGAAATCGCATCAGTTATTCAGCCCTAGCCCTAAGTCAGAACGTCCATAAACTCATCGATGATTATCTCTTGACTTGTCTGATTCAGCAATCGGTTTATCAAACTTGCCGATACCGGTCTCTGTGTCAGCCAGATATAAAGACAATACATGCCGTTACACTTGAAGGCAATGGACTGATGAAGAGATAAATGATTTACAATCAACAATCCTGAACTTATTCTTCAGTCTTAATTGTAAGAGCTCAGCACTTTACCTCACCACCAAGAATAAGTTGTGACAAGCTGGTGATCAGATTGATGCGGAAAAATATAAGGTATTCTCATTTAATTATTTAATTACTCCCAAAATGCCATAATCCTGGAATAATATTCCTACGCTTCTAAACTTTTTAAAAATTCATAAAATGTTAAGGAAAAAAATAATAGAAAAAACCGTATATTTTGTCGGAGCAGAGCGATTAACAATTTGTCACAGAATTGAAAAAACCGATGATTTTGCCTAAAGGGGGCAGAACATTAATATAA